ATATATATATATATATATATGTCAAGACTGCTCGGGCTGTCAAAGCGAATAGTCCGTGTTACTAATGTTACTACGATATTACCTTACGCCAAGCCAGGCCCTTCGATCTTGGGCTGTGTACCTCCAGTTACTGCCCACTGGCTGCTCCGCGTGTGTACATTATCTATTTGGGGGGCCGCCCGGACCGAACACTTTCTCGTGGATACTATTCACGAATGCGCGATGTTCACCAGCTGTCGGAAAATATTTTTTCAGTGGGCCGGACACCCGCTGAAAAAATATTTCAGTTATGCCTATCACCCACATATAGTAAGTGTAACTAAGAATCTTTACCGTCAGGTGAGGCAAGTTTCTTCTTTCACTACCGCTAAAGTAGGCGTTTCAAAGCTTAGCTTGTGCAATAGGCAGAATCAACTACACAAATAATTCTTGAAAGACTACTAGTCGTACAGATGTCAGCAAAAAAAGGAAAATTAAGCTATCACTGCCAGCACCAGATAGTATTTATAAAAAGCTATATTTCAATGGCATAAAACCTATACACTAAGAGCCAAAAGATTTTCCACCGATTTCCTAACGCGTTGAAAACTCAATTGATTTGAAACATGCCGCTTTGGGAATAGTAAAACTAACTCATCTCATTTAAATTCGGTGCATAATAAGCATCTACTTGTGCTGGACCTTGGAACCATAATGACCTATCAACCGGTTTTTTTAGCCGCATCAATTCTTCGGCAACACGAACCAGCTTGATGCGTATTGTGAATTCCAGCAACGGCTCTAGCTTTGAAGTTTCGGGCTGCAAAATTCAGTTTTTTTTAACACACAAAAAATTCCCGCTCCAGAAATTAAATCACATAAATACCAAAAATACTGTCTAAAATAGCACAATACAAAATTGGTTTGGTGCTGAAGGAGGAGCGAAAAAGTGCGATGAAATGGCCGTACTGGTAATTCCATAACAAAAATTAGTGCAATACTTGTGCAAGAGCTATAATCACAGGCTGGCTACCAGTAGTGTAGTTAGAGACACTTACCAACTGCCAGTTGTCCATCATATAGGTTTCATTAAAAAGATATGAAGGAAATCCGCTCTTATAATTGATATGTTCTGCCTTGAGAATTGCTCGTTTTCGTGTTCCCTCATCCATCCAGTCAACGGCTTCTAGCTGTTTGATTAATTCGTTTTTGAAATGTTTCGTTAAATCATTCATCTGAATCAAACGCACAACAAAAGCAAGCTAGTAAAAAATTCAGCAAAAACCAGTTCCTGAAAGTAAAAAACTAGGACTCAACAATACTCTCGCGCACACCGCTCATCGTTTTTGACAGCACGAGATGCTGAGATTACGAAATGCATCGATTTTTGCAAGGCCTGCATTAACGAGACTGCAAAAACTAAAACCCCTCCATCCCTAAATAAGTGAATACGAAGAAGTTTTTGGTTTTTCGGTTTTTGACATGGTGCCTGTGTGCACCATTCCATGCCAGGTTATTGAAAATGTAATTTTTGGTCCGAATCCCGGAACACACTGAGATGTAAGACAATGACAAGACTGTTTGAAAGACAGTTTCTAAAGTATTGTAAAATCTTCGAAAAACCAACCTTTCTCATGGCTCTCGTTTGATCAAAGTAGTTCTCAACATACATCCTTCCAACAGGCATATCGATCATAACAATTGCTAAGAAAACACAATCTTCCCATCTTTAAAAAGCTTTATTCAGGCAAGAAAGATATTTTAGGGTGCAGATACGAATCGTTCTATTTGGCTCTTGAGATATCTAATATCTTGAAGACACTTCTTTCAGTCCAGCTTACTCAAAATAACTGGTAAATTTGGAGAAAATTTGTACCGATCAGGAACTGGTATACTAGACATGCCGGTCTGATTGGCTTTGAATGCGTAAAATGGCTCCCGCATAAGACGTGGTAGAAACGGAGAATATCCTTGAATCACTCGCCATAGCATATAATTGGCAATAACCCGCTTACTGGATCGTCGCATCACTTTCTGTGATTACTTTCAGTTACGTAATGAAAAATTCCCAATCACTCCGAGAAATCGAGACACAAAGCCCAACATAACCGGTCCTTATCAGCTCCAGCTTCAAGCATGATTATTGCACCGGCAGTGCCCTATGAAATCTTGTCTGGTGAATCCTCGTGATTACAGTAAAAAATGAGAACCGGGAGCTATAACGCTTGCCTTCATTCCAAAAAATTCACAGATTTTGCAAAACATATTTTAAAAAAAATATCAAACACATCTGAATAAAGCAACAAGACTTAGGAAAAACTGCTTGAAAGAAATCTAAAACAAGACGAGATCTCAAAAACACTTATCACTGGTAGCCCGAATCAGGAAAAATAACGAGAGCATGAAGCGATGAAAATATCACACCCGAAAGCATAGCCTTTCTAAGTCCCTAATTTGGAAGCGACAAGAAAATGTTTGCGAATAATCCCATGTAAATTTTCTTTCTTTGAATTAGAAAAATGACCATTTCGAGATCAAAAAGTGCTGCATGGCCGGTTTGCTCCCAAAAACATTGCTACCTGGTATTTCTACTAAAAGTCATGATAATCCACCTGCATTCGACGAAAATATTCCGGTTCCCGGATTATTATCGTATCGTTTGGACTAACATTTTCAAGGCCATCGAAAACTGTTTTAATATAACCGACCAAATCTATCTGTAATAAATATTCGTTTACAAAAGCTGTCAAGCTGATCGTATTTTTGCTAACGCTGGATAGAAACTGTGATCATAAAAATTCAGCTTTTTGTAATTCGCAATTCTTAGGATGATTTGCTCCAATAGAGACACGTGGCTTGCACATCTATATCTGAGCTCATAGTTACGCCATTATTTCCTACGTAGCGCAAAATATAAAAATTCACGTGCGGATAAACGTCATGCAGTTGCCAAAGCTGGTATCGGTTGTTGCTACGCTCTGGATCACGCCGCGTCATTTCGTCTGCCGAAAAATTTACCAGTCGTAACTCAAATTCAATTGCTTGCCTCATGTCATATTCTGCATTCGCTCGGTCAGCCCCTGCAAATAACGCTGCACTTTTTTTTCCTTCTTGAAGCACTGTTAAAGTTTAAGACCCAGGCGCGCAGCAATATTGATGCTGAGACTCCGCACAAATCGACTAGATACTTCCATCTCGCGAATTCCCAGAGGATTCACTACACACTGCATATATTTTAAAAGCCAAAATTCAAAAATATATGCAGCACTATTACATATGTTCATGTTTCACAATAGCACATAAAAGAACAGTGATGAGATGGCACGTGGAAGCAAATGGGATTTTAAAGAGACATGTGTTACTGGAATCACATAATGTTAGCTCAGTGGGAAAGCCTCCTCTGCTCATTCGTATGACGCACGTTGCTTTGGTTGATTCGTAAAGGAAAGTTAGCCAGCTACCTATATTCATAGCAGTTTGGATCATCAGTGATGTATAGTTCTGAATTATTGGGTCGTGTATGCCAGCCAGATACGGCCAACGGGAGCCGACTCCCCATTTCGGTTGATCAATCTGCAACAGTAACTGGTTTTTTGCATTTTAATGCAAAAAGTTAGCACTTTTTCTCTAGTTCTGCCTCTAAAATAAAATTATCAAACTGAAATCCAACACTTTCAGCGTGGACTCATTATTGTGATTAGGCTTACGGTGTCGCAAGGATGTTTACGGAAAAAATAGCACTGAAATTGTAAAATAGAAGGGTGGGACTTAAGTGTCATGTGTAAGAAGACATTTTACGATGTAGTCTGTGTTTCATCCCTTAGGGAAAGGAATAGTGTAACAGAAAGTATCGTCACGATGTGCGTGTGTAGAAGAGATTCTGAGCCAGAAAAGTAAGGAACCTGCGGAATGCAGACTTTTGAAAAAGGCTTCAGTTAGTGATCATTGGTATCGCTCCTTTTTCTATTTTTCCTATAAAAACACGTGTAATTTTTCATTAGTTCTGTTAATAAGCCCCTCTCTTCCTAATTTCAAACACATTTGACAAATATAAGGGGAAGAAGTTTGCGCTCCATCCCTTAACCATACAGTTACAAACTGTGAACTGTAGATTTCAACAAGATTTGCTGCAACAGCTGCAGCAAGACTTGCACAAAGATATATGAATTATGTGATTTCTAAATCAAGCTCGTGCCTAAGTGAAGTAAGCGTGAAGTAGAACGTACCTCAATGATGCTTTTCGAACTATTTAATGGGTCGTGAGACACGGCCAGTTCCAGAATCATTGCATTCACACCTGTCCGATTCATAACATGCGCCAGTTGCCTCTCCCAGCTATGATTCCATGCTTTCCATTCATAGCTTTCAAGCACCGGCCATCCGCCTAATTGTTGTAGCAGTTTTTGCACTGACTCAACACCCGTAGCTTCTAAATCTTCTGGAAAAATATACTGCAATTTTACTGCAACCTCAAAAGCTTCACTTCTAGTTTGCTCAAAAATAATAAGGCACTCTGTAAGATTTGCATGCATTATTTTAATGCTTTCAATTTTGCTGATGCAAAACGATACAAAAATGACAATGAGCTTACCTTCATCGACACATTTTTGATAGTACTGCTTAGCAAGGCGATCCCACGGCCGATCGTTTTGCGTTAACGGAGCCTGCAAATTCTTGGATTCAATCTTCTGTTTGTGAAAATTAACAATAATAGTAAGTTAAGCCGGGTTTGTGCTGGAAGCAGTTTCAAGAACTGTGTTCGGGGAAACATCCTTGTAGTTAGCTGCTTTTTTAAAAGCAACAGAAGGTAAAGGCTGCTTTTTTAAAAGCAACAGAAGTTCTTGCTAGAACCATAGATTTTTCAGTGCCATACTGTTTATTTTTTAAGTTACCATACAGTCTTTTTTGGTGCTTTTGCATTTGTATGCTAGGCTATGCTTCCGGAAGAGACAAATCTGAAAACTAGGAAGTCGAAATTTTGGAAATGCCGGTGCGATTATGCGTTTTGCGTAACTCCGTCCAGTGGAAGTTTGTCTACTAATGATTTTCACTGTTTTACACTTTTGTGTGTGGAACAACAGTCGATTTGCTGTTTGGCTCCTAAGCTGACGAATTCCCTACCAAAAATTTGAAGTGCCAGTATATGAAAGCAGAATTTGAAACCTTGAATGGGTATCGCCCTTCCAAATTTCAACCTCCCGGTTTTCCGGCTTCCGAGTTAGTGACTTTCGCATTAAGCCTCCCACTTGGCCGTATGTAAGACCTTGGCATACTTGAAAGCTGAATTTGGGTTTCTGAAGTGTCTGCACAGGCACAAAACATCCTCCTGAAATTTTAGCCTCACAGCTCCTTTGATTTTCGGAGATAATAATTCTCCTGACCAAAACTTTTGTGAGGCCGCACGTGTTACTCGCTGGTACGGGAAGGCTGGATTTAAATTTATTGGATCACACGTGGGCAGCGAACAATCTCTCAAAATTTCAGCAGCCTAGCTTTTGTGGCTCTAGAGTTGAAAGTGCTGAACAAAACGCACTTGGACACACACACGCACACACACACACACACACACACACACACACACACACACACACACACAACCCCGTGACAATATG